CGACCTGTTGACAAACTTGTGATTGGGGTTAAATGGGTGTTTAAGACTAAACTTAATCTTGATGGGATTGTACAAAAGAACAAGGCAAGGCTTGTTGCAAAGGGATATGCTCAAAAGCCATGGGTAGATTATAATGAAACATTTGCACATATGGCCAAATTCGATACAATTAGAACTTTGGTTGCTTTAGCTACTCAAAAGAGTTGGAAACTTTATCAGCTTGATGTTAAATCTGCCTTCCTCAATGGTTGCTCCAAGAAAAGGTTTGTGTGGAACAACCTGATGGTTTTGAAGTGCAAGGAAGAGAAGATAAGGTGTGTAAACTACACAAGGCATTTTATGGCTTAAAACAGGCACCTAGGGCTTGGTACGGAGAGATTGATACTTATTTCTCTCTTTGTGGTTTTGAAAAAAGCCTAAGTGAAGCAACTCTTTACATCAAGACAAAGGGAGAGTTTGAGATATTGATTGTGTCCATCTATGTAGATGACATAGTGTACACTAGCAATAGTAAAACCATGCTGGAAGAGTTCAAATGAGATATGATGGAAAAATATGAAATGACTGACCTTGGCCTACTTCATTTTCTTAGTATGGGGATTATTCAAATCACTCAAGCATATTTATTTAACAGAGAAAGTATGTTGCTTCTTTGTTGAGTAAGTTCGGTTTGAGTGACTGTAAACCAATTTCCACTCCACCAAAGATGATGGGAGTGGACCAACTTGTGAAGAACAATATAGGAAAGTGGTTGGCAGCCTGTTATACCTGACAGCCACTAGACCCAATATAATGTACGTTGCTAGTTTTCTTCCTAAACTCATGCATAATCCTACCAATAAGCACTATGGGACATCAAGAAGGGTGTTGAGATATGTTACAGGAACCCTAGAATATGGGCTGGAATTTGTGAAAGGAATGAATGTTGTTCTGATCGGATTTTGTGATAGAGACTAGGGTGGATCGATTGATGACAGCAAGAGTACATCTAGATATGCCTTTTCTTTTGGCTGTGGTGTTTTTTCATGGGCCTCAGTTAAACAAAACTGTGTAGCACTCTCAACAGCAGAAGCTGAGTACATAAGTGCATCTGAGGCCACTGCATAAGCAATTTGGCTTAGGTTCGTGCTGGAGGACTTTGGAGAACTTCAAACAGAAGCTACCCATTTGCAGTGTGATAACACATCTGCAATAGCAATTTTTAAAAATCCTGTGTTCCACCAGAAAACCAAACATATTGATCTAAGATATCATTTCATTAAAGACGCTTTGCAGGAAGGAATCATCGACTTGGTGTATATTGTCCTACAAATAAGCAAGTGCAGACATCTACACCAAAGCTTTGGCAAGGGACAGGTTCAACTATCTCATAGACAAACTTGGAGTAAAGTCAGCTCAAAACTTAAGGGGGAGTGTTGAATTGTAAGTTATGAGCTATTTTAGGAATAAGCCTTTTCCTAAATTGTGTATTCACTTAGTCTAGAATATTGACAAGTGTAAGGCAAAATGATGTAAGCCTATGAATGCGCATGAGAATCCCAGGTTATGATCAAATGAGTGGCTAAGATCATTTGGTTGTAATTGTGAAAATTCCAGCTATGTAACTAACTGGGATACTGACATATATTGCTCCATCCCCACGTTTTCAGTGTGAATGAAATGGAAACATTCCTCTACTAATTTGCAGGGAAGAGAATATCAAAATCACTCTTTTGTAAACCACTCTTATCTTCTTCTTCTTCTTAGATCATCTTTCTTTCTTTGAATTAGAAGTTTGCATCTTATAATTTCCAAGAACACTAACAACATCAACAACTGAAAAAAGGCAGATTTTATCAACTTAAAATAATTCTGTCTAAATATCCATTGATGAGAATGAGTTAATTTCCCACCTCCATAAAAAAGTAAGAAAATACAAGAATAAGGAAGAAAGGAAAACTTATCTTTTCTGTGGAGAGTCCAAATCCACTGAGAAACTGTCTTCATTCACAGCCCCTCCTTGAGACATGGTTGTCTTTCTAAATTCTGTTTCTGGTACATCTGATACTCTAAACCTGTTTAGTGTTTACCCTTTCTGTCTTATTACCCATATTACTGGACTGCGTCACAGATTGATGGGCATCAGTAGAAACCAATTCAATTTCAGAGTTAATGGCATGTGAAACTTTCTTGGATGGTGAGCTGTTTTATTCAATAACTAAATCTACATTGTTATTGACTTGAAAACCGTGCATGCTGTCCTTTTTCGACCTGGACTTATGTTGTGAGGAAAATTCATCATCATGCACTCCACCTTCATTTTTATCTTCTTCACTCTTATCTTCTTCACTCTTTCCAAACAAATCCAGGTAAAGGAGGAAAGTCAAAATAACTTTGTGGTACATGTTTCGTTCCATCTGCTTTGCTCCCTAGCTTTGGGGAGCTGCAGTTATGTGGCCCTGAAGTGTGCATGAAACAAGAAGAATCATATGCTACATTATTTGTGCTCTCCCATACACTGACAAGGTCAGCTGAATCGCTAGAACTCTTTTGTTGGCATGCATTGATGTATCTGTACAATTATTCTTCCTATTACAATAATTCTATAGTTTGTTAGTATTATCAAAAGATGAGACCTGGTTTGCCATCTACTTTCATAGCACAAGCAAAATATCAACAGGTTGAGATCGAGTGATATGCATGACAAGCTGTCACAGTTCTATTGATTTCATACGTGACTTGAGGAGAACTTCCTCACATCACATTGTTGAACATGGAGATTGACCGTGAGCATTGAGGTCATTTTAAAAATAGGAACTCAAGCCACTCAAGAGCCAAATCATTCGGTTGTTAACAAATCTATACGAGAGGTATAATTTGTTTTATATTGTATTTTTGTTTTTCAAATGTAGTTTTTGATAATGAAAGTGAAGTTCATTAAATTGGTTGATAATGTAGGTGGGAAAGGGCAGGGGCATGGGAAAAGGTAGAGGCATGAGAATAGTAGTATCTAGCTCACAGCCCACTCCACAAGTTCAAATGGTACAATCAATAGTCCTTTAGTTTTTGTATTGTTTATTCTTTACTCTCTTTTTTCAACAATAATTTGTGTAAATTGTGATAGAAGGAGTATGATTTGGATTTTATAGGGTGACTAAGCGTAAGCTGCTATCATTTTGTTTTTAACAGGTACAAGGCTGCATTGGTGTCACTTCTCAAGTAGTGCCACCACAATCACAATCACAATCTACCAACAAAAGATATAAATCACCTGTAAAGAGAGACAAATCCTGGAAGCCTTGAGTATGGAGGGAGTTTGTAGTTTGGATGTCATTGCACAAATGGAAGAAACAAGCTACAACCATCTCTTTTCTTCTTTTCTGTGAATTAGAACAGTTGAACATTGATTTTGCAGTTGAACATTTAGAGTTTGATCTTGTTGTTAAACATGTGGATATTGTTTTTTGATGTTGAACATTTGAATATTTTGCAAGTTATAATGCTGATCATGTTGAAAATCTCATGTAATGGAACATGGTATCTCTTTTTGGTAATTCTATTGATTTAGCCTTGTCTGCAGATATATCATACTTTGGACCATCCATTTCATTTATATTTAAAATGCACAATGTACAGTTTTTTTCCAAAAATTAACATAAGGGAAAAAGTCAGGGACCGTTTGCGATGATGTACTTGAATTTGGCGCCAAATCATTTTTAATAACGGATGAAGATTTGATTTCACTGCCAAAATCAGCAACATATGGGTAATTTTTTTTAGGAAAATGAGAGATAATGTGAAAAAGTAAGTGGAGAATTTGATTTGATAAAAATATTCTCAACTTAACAAAGTTTTTTAAACCAAAATGATGAATGATGAACAATCTCAGAAATCATTTCTATTGATTTTAAATCTCAAAAAATAAAATGATACGTTATACAAATTTCAAGACCATTTTGACTAAAATGCCATTTTTTAATTCCTTTTTTAATAGAGCATGTCATGAAACTGTAAAGTGTCTCGCTTTCCTACATTTCTCTTGGTTTCTGAAGGAAACTAAACTTCACACACATTTTTTAATTAGCCTATCACACATCCTTCTTTATTTCTAAACAATGAGTTGAATAAATCAATAAAAACAATGAACATGATTAAAGATAGGTGTATAAGAGGAAAAAAACATAGTATGTGTTTTATCATTTTCCTTTCTTAAAAGCCACGTTCTCAACTTATTCTTAATTTGAGCATGAAGTTGATACAACAGATTTGCATAAAATGATGTTTTGTACAAAACTACCAAAGAGTACCTGTGCGTTGCGGTGGAGTTCGAAAACATTATTGAATATGTAGATGTCTTGAAAAATATATGTGCCACAGAGTGGTATTTATATACATATATTACATCCATGTGTTAAGGAAGTGCTATTTACGTTCATATATTACATGGAAAAAATTGGGAATGTTGGTATGCCATCCTTAAGGATTGTCTTTCAAGAGCTATGGCTCTATCCCAGAGATTGTTTTATGTTTACAACTATACAAAGTTAAAACAATCCAGTTTTGTTTCACTAAAGACACCTAAATCTGTAACTCTGTTAATGACGTCTCCTTCATTTTGTACGACAACGTTGAACTGAAAATCAAAAGAAGAAGGAAATTAAAAACAGCATTTGATCACTTATGAATTGAATCACACTAAATTGCATATGAATTGAATTGAATGAAAATCTAAAGATGAAGGAAAATTTGTCATAATTTCGGTACACAAACTTTCACCATGCCAGATTTCATTTGTAGGCACCAAAACAAATTCATAAAATTAAGTTGGGTTTCTCATATTCTCTATTGGATCTTCACTATGCCAGATTTCTAAATTTTACATTAGGCGGGATTAATATGCACATCTCTAGCAGTATATAGTTCCCCTAAATTGATTTTTACTCAACATTTCACAGTATCAATGTAAATATGAGAAAACATAACCATCCTTAATCACAAACAGAGCAATACTCCAATGTCATGTATGTCACAATGCAGAATTCACTCAACTGAATGCGTTTCTAGTTGATTATATATCAAAACTAAATAAAACTATGAAGTATATGAAGATAAAATACATACCTGTCTAACAAAATCCCAGCATAAGGAGGCACATGGAAGTACTTAACGTGTGTTGCAACTGCCTAGCTGCTGAAACTCTTTCGGACCAAAGGACCCTGTAGACTACTCATTAGCAAAGACATCATGGTGTGTGTGCTGGATAATTCACACTAATAAAACTACAAAATCAATGAAAATTTTCACTCTGAAACTTGATCTGCTTTCATTGAAATAGAATCCAAGATCGTATGTGTTATTGCTAAAAAATAAAAAATAAAAAAAAAGAGAAGGTAAAATTCCACATCAAGCAGCAGGTATATAAATGCTCTTCTATGTAGATTCACCTATTAGCTCTGTAGTAACTCACACACACCATGCATATATAATGAATCACTTTCTTTTTAGCAAACAAAAAGAATATCGCGTATTATGTGTAATAAGACGTCCAACACCAATTAATATTTAGCAGAAATGTAAAGGTTGTTCATGTAAATTAAAGAGTTATGAATTAATTATCAAATATAGTCATGATCAAGCCCTCCTCTTTAATTTTATGATTAAAAACAACAAACTAACTCACATCAATAACAGTAAACTTTCAAAAGTGCTTTGTGTGTAAAATATGTACACCAAGTGAACATCGAAGCAGCTATCCATACATGTATATATATAAATAGAGGTAGAAATATTCGGAACTTAGCAGACCCTCTGGAGAGAAGACCGGGTTCATAAGGAAGACCATTACAAAGATGCCACCGAACCGGTGAAGACTAACAAACTAAAAGCTTGTTGACATCAATGTAGCCATATAAGAGAGGGTTTTGGGTTAACATTTTGCTGTGTTAACTTTTGATTAAATAACCGGTTGCTTGATACAATTTCTGTATGTGAGTTGTTTGCTTTTATGCTTTGATTGAATCAACTAAATTAGATAGTGCTGCATTTCTAGATGACCTCTCAAGCTTCCGCATCACAACTAAATTACATATATTCGATGCAGATGGCAATTTTAACTTTCTAGAATTGTGGAGTAGTGGTTTCTGAAGCTAACCATATAAGAAAATACGATTGGACAAAGTTGCATTCAAATTGAAAAAAGGAAAATAAGTCAGGAAACTGAATTTGTAAGGAAATCAAAGACATTTCGATTTGGTCATTTACATACAGCAATAGTAAAAATTACAGAAAACTATACCATCTCGCTTCGTTCATCTCCTGCAGGTGCTGAAATAGCACTTGGTTCGCGAGTTGGCGGTGCAAAATAAGAGTCGGGAACTGTTGGAGGGAGTGGAATGATTTTCTTCCCTTTCCCTGCTGCAGGCAAACATCAAAACCCACAACCAAGTTCACCAAAAATGCACAGAAAAATACCACTACCAAACTCACAAATTTAATCTAAGCATTCTACAAATCTAGAAAAAAAAAACACTAGATCTCAGATAGAAACGTCAAAAAACCCATAATTTAATGAAGAACCCTCCAAAGCCCTGAAATTTAAACGAATTTCTTTACAAAATCATGAAAAATTTACTAAAATTCAATTATATTAAATCACAAATTTGAATAAGATCTTCACATGCAATGGGCCTAGAAGGTATATCGGGTGATGATGAGTCATTTGAGACCAACATCGAGGCCAGACATCACCGGAATCGTCGGCGATTCCGATTACAAAAGTCAGCAACTTCGTGTTCTTGGATGAAGCAGCACGCTTGATTTAGGTTAGAGAAGTCAGCGGCAATGGTAGAGGTTTGTGAAATTGCGAGAAGCCGGTGGTTCGGGAAATCACGAGATTCGATGAGGTTTCTTAGGCAGCATCGTTCTTCTTCGATGAAGAGAGCTTGTAACTGGACGTGGAGTCGGACTAGCAGTCGGGAAGAATAGCTTTATGTTTGGTAAAAAAAAAAAAAAAAAAAAAACGACTACTGTTAGATCATCTCCGACTCTTGAATAAAAATTTAAAATTTTTAGCTTAAAAAATTCAAGTTTTAACCCAAAATAATTTTTGTGTTCCAACCATTTAATTAACCTGATATTATAAAAGAATGGATTTAAGATAAATTTTTCTACTCCAATTTTTTCTTTTTTTTCAAAGCATAGTAATAAGTGCACATTTAATGAAAATTTCAAATGGCAAGTATACCCCCATGTGTAGGCAAAATCCTAGCCCTATAGCAAGCCACTCCTCTTATAAATACCTCCATCTCCACCAAATTTTAGTAAGCTTTTTGTTAAGCATACAAGTCCTAAACACTTACTATTTTTAGAGAAACTGACTTAGGCATCAGAGATCTATTAGCCAACACCCCCCCCCTCCAACAACCTCATGAGACGTGAGGTTTTGGCCTTTAATCAAAAGTGTTGATTGTTTTGTCAATACAAATTCGTAGAGACTAAAGACGGCAGATTTTCACTATCACAAATTGTTGGTTTCATTGAGGGCTTGATTCAAATACTAGAAGAAGGCTCTTGCAATTTTTTTTGGAATTTTCTATTACGTTTGATTTCTCGTATGCTCCTAGTCATTGAAACTATTCCTAATAAAACTCCTTGATTAGTCATTGGAGAAAGAATACACACACTTGGACACTTGTTCTGCCACCTCATTCTCACAACATTACTGGATCTAAATGGGTGTATCGAGTTAAATACAAGGCAGATGGCAGTTTGGATTGATATAAAGCATGACTTGTTGGTAAAGGGTTTCTTCAACAACATGGTATTGACTACCATGAAACATTTAGTCCGGTCGCTAAATCAACAACTATCTGACTCATTTTATCTCTAGCTCTCCAGTTCAATTGGTTGATTACTCAATTGGATGTCTCCAATGCCTTCCTTCATGGTACACTTCATGAAGATTTGTATGTAGCTCAACCTCAAAGATTATAGATCCTCTCAGACCTCATTTTGTGTGCAAGCTTCACGAGTCTATATACGGTCTCAAACAAGCGACGCGAGCTTGGCACGATGAGCTCTATTGTAGTCTTGTAGCTCTCAGATTCCGTTCCTCTATAGCAGATCCTTCACTCTTTGTCAAGGTTGATGACTCACTCACTTTTATACTTGTTTATGCTGATGGTATTCTGATTACAGGTAACTCTTCTTCTCATTGTGAATTTTTTATCAACAAGCTCAATACTCAATTTGCTACGAAGAATCTTGGTCCGTTGCACTTTTTTCTTGGTATTCAAGCTCATCGAACAGCAGACACGCTCTTCTTGGTTCAAACCAAGTATGTCCAAGACCTCCTAACAAAAGCCAACATGCTAGATTCCAAACCATGTGCATCGGTTTCATCTGCTTCTAAACTTGCTCCTTCAAGACCCTATCATGTACAGATCATTGGATGGTGTTTTACAACACCTTACATGGACAAGGCCTAACATCACCTTTTTCGTTAATCAAGTTTGTCAACATCTTCAGATCCCAAAACAACTCATTTCACAGCCCTCAAGCGGATTCTCCGTTATCTTAAGGGGACTCCAGATCATGGACTTCTTCTCACCAAAGGTTCTACAAATATCACTACTTTTTTGAATGCCAACTAGGCTAGTTGTCCCATTGATAGTCTTTCTACATTTGGGTTCTACATATTCTTTTGAAACAATCTTATTTCATGGAGTGTGTGGAAATTTTCAGGTCGACGGGCCGAGGGCCCACTCCAACAACAACGATATTGTCCCCACTTAACCACCTGCACAATCCTCAGGTGTGGGGTTTTATCACAAAAGGCCTCGGTGTTAATTAGAGAGGGGTATTTCTATTTAAAGCATTCTTCTCTTCTCCCTCTGTCCGATGTGGGACTGGGGGTTCCAACACTCCCCCGCACGTAAGACCCCACTTATGGGTCACACGTGAATTTCCACACTTCGACAACCACGTGGAGCCATGTCGGGACTCACCCAATCACGCTGGGCCAATGGGGACCCACCCAAACACGTGGCATCTTTGGCCTACGTGGACAATCACGCGGGGCCAATGGGGATCCACCCAATCACGTGGTAGTACGGGCCCGTCCCCTGGCTCTGATACCATGTGGAAATTTTCAAGTCGACGGGCCGAGGGCCCACTCCAACAACACCGATATTGTCCCCACTTAACCACCTGCACAATCCTCAGGTGTGGGGTTTTATCACAAAAGGCCTCGGTGTTAATTAGAGAGGGGTATTTCTATTTAAAGCATTCTTCTCTTCTCCCTCTGTCCGATGTGGGACTGGGGGTTCCAACAGAGTGCGAAGAAGCAACCAATTGTTGCTTGGTCTTCAACCGAAAGTGAATACCATTCTCTAGCCCAAACAAATATCATGGATTTGCTACCTCCTCAATGACCTTCACTTCTATCTCCATAATCCACAGCTGCTCTTATTTGACAACACTAGCTGAAGTATCATGGATTTGCTACCTCCTCAATGACACCGCTGCTCTTATCTTAATCTTACTTAACGAGTCGGGTCACACGTACATAGATTGGCATTTAGATTGCACAGGTACCCTGTCGTGCTTCCTTTACACACAAGGTAAAGCAATTTTTAGCACAAAAAGAAAAACAGAGAGAAGTTGGAGAAAAGAACATGCTTCCAGTTTTTTATTTTTATTTTAATACAAGCGAGAATCAGAAGGAGGATTAGACATGTTTACTTACTTGGAATAGAAGAAGTCGTGAATCAAGTTTTAGGAAAAAAAAGAATGGGATTGTGATCAACTAGTTCCACAGTTTATCTCATCCCTAATTTTTCAAGGAACTCACACTTTTTACGTTTCCATATGTGCTAAACAAGAAAGTTTCAATACCGATGTTTTAATTAACGAAAATCAGTAAAGAATCACAATAGTTCTAACTCTTATTCTTGGTAAGTAAACAGTTAACTTACAATTTACCTTGCGATATTTCAACTTTTGTAAACTTAATTGTAAATTTGAAATTTATTTTAATTTTATATCTATGCTAGAGAATCTGTCTGCTAGAGGGAAAGATATCAATGGAACCAGATGAAAAAAGAAGGGAAATAATCTATCTTGTTTCCTTCTCCTCAATGTCCTCGTTGATAGTGGGCAAACGAGTAAGTTTACATACTCCTACTTAAACAAGGAGTCAGGAGTCCATCTTACTAGTATAAATACCTCCTTCATGAACAATACAAGGCACGCAATACTTTGAGCTCTAAGTCGAATTCAATTGTACGAGTTTACCTTGACTATCGGAGGGTTTTTAGCCAGTACCACATCATTGTCTTTTCGCCTTTAAGGATTTCGCAATTAGTTTGTCGATTACAATTGTAATTCCAAGGAGTGGAAATTTTTGCTAGAACAATGGCGTCGAAATCGAATTACAACATTCCAGGGCAAATTCCTGAAATTGTGTCCTTGTATACATTTGACAATGGACCTAAGGGAAGAAGCAGTGAAAAAGCAAAGAGTAGTAAAACAGAAAACAAGGAAACGGGCTCCTCATCAGCCAATGAAAAGAAAAGCAGCTCTAATGAACGACATGCCACTACTACAAAGTGAATGTCCGAATCTTTTAGCAAGGAAAAAACGACATCAAAAGCCTGAGTTTAATTTTAGATACAATAAAATTGTAGGACCGATTTTAATCTTAATGCATTAACATCTTGAAGTATTATAAAATTTAACATATTTTTGCTTTTGTTTCTTTTTATTTGCAAATTCTCTTTGACAAGTGTTTCAACTAGTGAATGTTTAGTTTGAATATTTTAGAATATATATTTGGTTTAATTTAATAAACATTTTACAATTGTTGTGGAATCAGTTAATATTTATGTTCAAAATGGGTCTTACATAAAATAGAGCTCTCTCTCTCTCTCTCTCTCTCTCTCTCTTAAATAGGTATTGATTAGTTCAAGTGTTGCGACATGTACCATGCATAAATCGACCAAACCAAATCAAACCATGCAAATTCTTTGGTCTGAATTTTGTTTTTTATGTTAAACCGGACGAAATCGAATCATGCCCACCCATATGTTCACCAAGGTATCGTTTGGTATGCAGACGGGACGGGACGGAACAGAATGGGACGGGACGGGACGGGACGGGACATGACGGAACGGGAGTAAAGATACCCTCGGATGGAAACAAGGAGGAAGAATAAGGAAACGGAGAGGTTATAATTTTGTGTTCCACAGATGTGGAACGAGTCGTTCCAGGGGGGTGAGGTGGAACGAAAATTCACCCAAAACTTGTTCCGTGGAACAGCTCGTTCCACCTGTTTTAGGCGCACCAAACGTGGGACGGAACGCCTTGTCCCACTTTGTTCCGTCCCGTCCCACGTACCAAACGGTACCCAAGTGAAACCGTGAAAGGACCAAACCGTCATTCTCTCACCTTTTTGTACAACCAAAAACTAATCTGCATATTATCCTTCGAATGTGTTTACTTTTATCAAAGAGACCATGCGTGACACACACAGGGTCCTTGTTGCTGCTGTAAAGTATCCCCTTCATTGCTTCTGTTCTTCTCTTCATTCTCATTACCCTTCTTTGACTCACTCTTCTTCCAGTTTTACCCCCAATTTTCTGGGAAAACAAATTCTATACTCTCGCCATTTATTGTTTTAGTCAATTACTAGCATTTTTAGCCCGCGCATTGCCATGGGAATGGCAAATGAATTTTAAGTACAATTAGTGTTGGGATAAGGGACTAAATGTGTTGAAGCATTGTGCGTAGATGCAAAATAAGTATTTGCATAATATATAGACCTGGTTTGGTACTAAGGTGATTCTGAAAAAAACTGCTATAAAAAAAAGTTGGGAGCTGTTTTTGTGTTTAGTAAACACTCAGCTTCAGCTTTTTTTCACAGTTTTGGATGAAAAAAAGCCAAAAACAAGAAGCTGCAAAACCTAGCTTTGAAAAATCGGTTTTTTTTCACATCTGTTTTACATAAAAGTTTACCAAACACTCTAATATTGCTTTTTTTTTTTTCAAAAGCACTTTTACAAAAAAGTTTACCAAACACTCTGCTGCTTTATTTCACAGCTGCTTATTCTCACAGCACAGCAGAAGCAGCTTTTTTTCAAAGCACAGCAATACCAAACCAGCCCATAGTAGTTGTTGACAAAGCTATTTACATATAACGAGTTGTTCAAACATTCAACAACTAAATCTCTTCTTAATGTTTAGCTTAGACGAAGTAAACACATCCCCTACAAATACAGAGAACTTAATCGTACAACCCAAAATAAAACAAAAATGCTTCAAACTTTCCTTCGTTTACGGCATTTTCTAGACAACCAAAAAACCCAGAAAACAAAAACCACAGAAAATGATCAATTGGGAGCTACATTAAAAGACACTGAAAAGAGGAAGAGGATTAGAGATTCACGGTTCTTACCCACATTTGAGTCAGTTTCTATCCCATGCAAAAAAAAAGACACAACTACTTCAATTAAAAAATGTAATAAACGGCAACCAGAAGGCTCTATGAATTCTTGCCAATTAAAGATTATTACCTGGCCTTGGCGAAACAAGGCCTTCACATTAGCTTCCCAATCACGCAATGCAAAGTCTGTGTCCAACAACGCTCCGTCTAGGTCTCCTAATTTCAACCTGCAGGCCTGAACAGAAAACTCACCTATCAGAGAAGTATTAAAGCGAGGCCTGATTACCATATTCATAGTTGTCTTTTTGGTTTCACTCATTTCAAGGATTCTTCATAGCAACTCAGAACCCACAGTAATTTTCACTTTGTCTAACAGGCTTAATTTAAGTATGATTAAGTTACTATCATACAATTTTAAGTACAATTAGTGTTGGGATAAGGGACTAAATGTGTTGAAGCATTGTGCGTAGATGCAAAATAAGTATTTGCATAATATATAGTAGTTGTTGACAAAGCTATTTACATATAAAGAGTTGTTCAAACATTCAACAACTAAATCTCTTCTTAATGTTTAGCTTAGACGAAGTAAACACATCCTCTACAAATACAGAGAACTTAATCGTACAACCCAAAATAAAACAAAAATGCTTCAAACTTTCCTTCGTTTACGGCATTTTCTAGACAACCAAAAAACCCAGAAAACAAAAACCACAGAAAATGATCAATTGGGAGCTACATTAAAAGACACTGAAAAGAGGAAGAGGATTAGAGATTCACGGTTCTTACCCACATTTGAGTCAGTTTCTATCCCATGCAAAAAAAAAAAGGACACAACTACTTCAATTAAAAAATGTAATAAACGGCAACCAGAAGGCTCTATGAATTCTTGCCAATTAAAGATTATTACCTGGCCTTGGCGAAACAAGGCCTTCACATTAGCTTCCCAATCACGCAATGCAAAGTCTGTGTCCAACAACGCTCCGTCTAGGTCTCCTAATTTCAACCTGCAGGCCTGAACAGAAAACTCACCTATCAGAGAAGTATTAAAGCGAGGCCTGATTACCATATTCATAGTTGTCTTTTTGGTTTCACTCATTTCAAGGATTCTTCATAGCAACTCAGAACCCACAGTAATTTTCACTTTGTCTAACAGGCTTAATTTAAGTATGATTAAGTTACTATCATACAATTTTGATGTCAATCACTACCACTCATAAATGTACACTTTCTGCAATAACCATAGTTCAACAACTTGTCATTTACACTGCTTAACTGAAATTGGTTTACTTATCCAGACAGTAAGTTTGCTTTCATTTCAAGAGGGTTTCCAAGAGAATTCATTTAACATCCAGTGCTTTCAAATTTGATAAATGAAAATTCTTACTGAGCTATTAGTAAATATCTTGGACTTTTGTCTCCCGCAAAGAGGAGCTCATCTCTGTTTAATCACAAAGATAATGTCATAAGATGATCAAAGAAAGCAAGGGACACTCTGTAGTGCAAAGCAACTGGTTTACCTTCATCTATTTCTTCCAGCTCGCAGCATATATCCACATACCACAAAACCTTGCGATACTTTCTGAGGGCCATCTTGTAGTCTTGCTTCTGTATAAAGATTAAAAAACATACTATTGGATAGGCAAGTCTCCGCCCTTCGTGTTCACATTCTCAACTGAGCGAACCACACCCATGCCCTTGATCACCTTCCCAAACGCAATTCCCATCCAGATGAGAAGTCCAAGTGGTGGTAATGAAAAACTGAGAGCCACTGGTGTCAAGGCCTTTATTAGCCATAGACAACATTCCTTTTCTCTCATGCTTTATGTCAAAGTTTTCATCTTCAAACTTCAACCCGTAAATTGACTCTCCCCCACTGCCATTTCCAGCCGAAATGTCTCCACCTTGTATCATAAAGCCTTTGATAACGCGGTGGAAACAAACACACTGCAACCAAATGCAATGCAATTCTTATTGCAACTCCACCTCATTAACAAAATTACACATTCTTGCAAATGGACAAAGAAATTAACAAAAACCGGTCAATGTAACAATTAAAAAAACAAAAACCCACCAACGTAACAAAAAAAAAAAACAAAAACCCACCAGTGAAACAATGAGAAAACAAAGACCCAGAAACAAAAAATTGAATCTTTTGAGAGAGAGAGACCTTGTAGTGCAGAGGAGCATTGCAAAAAATAAAAATAAAAATAGATACAAACCTGTTTAGAAAGCTAGAATAACCATCTTTCTGGTATTTAATTTTTAAACCATTGAGCCATAGCTGATGCATGTGTAAAAGTATGAGTAATTTAGTCAATTTTATGGAAAAATGTCTACAAAAAATATCTAATTTCAAAAAAAAATAAAAAGAAAAAAAAAAGAAAACGCAGACCAAAATAATTAAAGTTGGATAAACTCATTCATACCTCAATTTAATTTGCAGGTTAATTTTCTTGTTGAAAAACCTTGACCTGCAAAATCAGATTACATTCATCAACAAAAAGCAATGAATGTAAGAATGATAAAGCCACAAATCTCAGTTACAATTACAATAAGACAATAAAGTAAAAATAACCGTGTTCACCCCTCGACGAAACACTCAGAGAGTGAGCAAGCACACTTCCTCTATTCATGAAACCTCGTACAAAGTTCCAGTTTTCAATCTAAGATCTTCCCAGCGGCGTGGTTGGCGGTGGTGGCCGTAGATCCATCTCTGGCACTGGTATTGGCAGCTGATAAGGAACAAAGTCATCAGAAACTCCCAAATTTATCCATTTCTTAATTGAAATCCAGAAAAGAAAAAAAAATGCAAAATTTAAGCAATGTAGAGAAAACCCAGATCCCACCCCAAACCAACGCAAAAATGAAAGAGGAAAAAAAAGGGGTATTCAAGGAATCCATCATACTGTAACCGAAGCGAGGACGCTTTCCGACGGCTATATTCATCGCCGACGGCGGCGGTTGCTAGCCGTCATTATACCTCCAGTACGCATCCGCCATGTTTGAGTCTTGTGACCGTCACTACTTGCTTAGTTTGTGGGCTCCATGGCGAGAGACATGGGAGCGCGCCGAGGAGAGGAAGATTGTGGTTTCAGTAGAGGAGAAAGAGGAACTGAGAGGGAGGAGAGCGCAAACAGGAGTCAGTAGGGTAACCATCTGCTTTCCTTTCAACGCACTTTTCATCTTCCTCGACTCTCCACACAGCCGTCGTCCCCATCGAATGCAACCCATCTCATGGTCGGCCAACACGTGTATAGGAGGGCAACCAAACTTACGGACAAAATTACTCTCCTAACTTTTAAGAATTACCTTTCCAACCGAGGCAAAATCTGATCTTTTTTATTGTAAATAGCGTGAAATCGAGTGGCAAAGGTTGACTGCAGCTCTCCTCAATTTTAGAATGGAGAAAGATGTAGAGTTTGTTGTAGCTCAAGCAAAAAGCGTTATTCTGTAATCAAACCAAGTATTAAAAAGGAAAAATATAGGTTTGTTTAGTGTTATATAAATGCAATTTGTGCTGCAAAAGCAATTATTTGTGTGATCTACGAAGCCTCCATTTCGATATCAAACCCCACAATATTTTGCTAGACCAAAACTTCACACCAAAAATCTTTAATTTTGGTCTGACCAAGTTATGTTCCAAGGATCAAAGCATAGTGTCAATGACTACAGCGAGGGGGACCATGGGCTACATTGCACCCGAAGTGTTTTCCAGGAATTTTGGAAATGTGTCTTACAAGGCAGATGTTTATAGTTTTGGAATGCTGCTGCTTGAGATGATAGGAGGAAAGAAGAATATTGCTTCAACCACAGAGGACATACCAATGAAATTTACTATCCATAATGGATTTATAACCTTCTAGAGGAAGGAGATGGCCTACGAATCCATATCGGGGAAGAAGGGGATGGTAAGATTCCAAAGCAACTTGCAATTGTAGGGCTCTGGTGCATCCAGTGGTACCCGGTGGATCATCCTTCCATGAAAACGGTTGTTTAGATGCTAGGAGGAGGAGAAAACTTGAGGATGCCTCCTAATCCTTTTGTTTCTGCAGGTCCTACACAAACATCACAGGCAGGCATCCCCAAAAGGCGTCTCCTAGAGTTAGAAGCAATTGCTGAATTAGAGTAAACATGTAGATGTATACCACCAACCGGTAGTTCATAGATGAATTCAAGCACAAACATTTGTTAGTGTATAAGCCATGAGCTGATTACATTAGTAGTAATGTCTTGTATTTAGTTGTGTAATCACTTGAGTTATAAATTACCAAGTGTAGTGACATGTATTGCATTTGTCGATGTCTAGTGACATGTATTTGAATCCTAGAATCTAGCTAGATGTGTGGTTGAGATCTCATTGGTGTAATGGTGAGAATCCAGCTGCATAACTAAGTGTTATGTAGTGCACGATTTCGTGTGCAAGAGAGAGAAATAGAAGTATATCCCTGTGTGTATTTTGCAGAGAGAACTATCCATCATTCTCTCAAAATCTTCAGTGACTGTTCTTCATTCTTTCAATTTTTTTGTACACACACACATCCAAACTTTAACAACATTTACAGACAACAATTCTTTACTAATTAAATCACTTTAAAGTGAGAATTTAATTATTATAACATTATTGCACTTTCTTAACAATTTGACATTCACCTAGTTGATGATGAACATGTTAGCTCGATGTTAGAACACATTGGGTTCGATTTATTTTCTTTAATATCACCCACAGTCACAGACGCCTCTTGTGGGCACAAAGAAGGCCTAAGAAGCAATTGCAGACATTCAACATCTCTTCCAAGCATTTCGATGACTTTGTACATCGAAGGGCGATCACTTGGTTTCGTTTGAATACACCACAATGTGGTTATAATTAACCATCTTTCTCTTCCTCCTCTGTAACTCATTTTCAGACACCAATCGTTAGATTTCACTTCATATTTATACGACTTTAGGCCTTAACGACTATACATTGCACTGCCATTGTTGAAAATGTCTACTGGTTTTATCTATTTTACTGTAACATGTTTTGTGAGGTTGAATTCTGTAACACTATATTTTTTACCTGGAAACTATATATACATATCACTTACCATGTCATCCCTGCCCAAGTTTTTCTCTTCGCATTTAGTATGGTATACCAAAACTTGCCTAACAAAGCCCATTAATTCATAAGCAAAACTAATTATTCGGCCGTACTTTACTTCGAATGCTAGTCAGATGAAACAATATGAATCGTAAACTAAACACAATAGTTTGGGATGTAGTTAGACGTGTGTGGGTGCTTGGTGAATCAAGAAACTTCATGGATCTGGGATACCCCACGGTCAACACGCATACAATATAAGTTAGGAATGAAGACTGTCGTATCAGTTGGCTATACCAAAAGAGTTTTTGGCATCTAGAGGATTATTCTTACATAGAAAATTCCAAAGATGAGAAAGTTGAACTAATCAAATTTTAACAAGTTTGAAAAATCAACTATTTATATATAAGAAGATCCTGATTGATGTGTTACGTTGATTTGAAGAACGGTCTTGAAGTTATGGAGTGAGACATTCATTTAAAATCAACTATTTATATATAAGAAGATCTTGAATAATGTGATAAGTTGATTTGAAGAACGGTCTTGAAGTTATGGAGTGAGACATTCATTTAAAATTAGCAAAAGAATGTAACAATTAGAAAAATGGTTGTCTAAATGGTGGGGTACTTTTACTTTTTAAGTCTTTAAGGAACAAGAGTAGCAGGTTCCAAGTTGGAATAATGCAATTTTCACACAATTAGGACAAAGAAAGAAGTCTTACCTTGTAAGTGATAGAGATTCTTGTGTATGACTTACGACATCCCACACTTTTTCTGCGAGAGTGGGCCTTGGTGATACAAAATTACAAGGGGGATTTGTGTGTGTAGCCGATCTAGAGGCCATACACCAGATTAGGATTTCCTCCATCACGTAACTCAATGAGTCCCATAAAGTCATAATGGTTTGAACCAGTTTAATGACACTTCAACGTCTGACTAATGTTGTAAAAGGTTTGCAACAGTCAAATATCACTTTAGTCTGAGATAAAACACAAATGAAAGAAATTTTTCATATTTTATTTTACTTTTTCACTGGTATGACGAAATGTATGGCAAAACAAATCAAACTATTCTATTTCTGTAAAAATACCCAAATATGAATGAAATCAATTGCAATCGAAGACTCATATATAACCAAAGCATTGCTTTTATACTAAAAGGTGTGTGTCGATTGAACTAACTTTTTGGCTACATATGATAATTTTTTATTTAAAAAAACTGATATTTTTAAAATTACGGGTCAATTTTTTGTTATATTTGATACCAAGACAAATAATTCATCTATAAAATTTCAAGAACCACTGCTTCAATTACCTCACTAAACAAAATCATCCCAAAAATTCAAAACTTTATGCAAAAACCACAATAAAAATTTGATTAGGAGTTCAATACCAAGACAAATAATTCATCTATAAAATTTAAGGTAAGTGATTTTCACACAATTTTTCTTCCGTTGCACAACTATGTTTATTTCTAGCCGTAGAAATAAGTCCACCAAGGCCACAAATCCCTTCCAATAAGTCCACCAAGGCCACAAATCCGAGCTTTTAAAATTTGATCAAACGGTTACAAATAGGAGCTCACTTTAAAATTTATAATAATTTTAGCCGTTAGATCAAATTACCAAAAGAATAAGCTTGTCTCACTAGATATGCGCTGAAACTTTAGGCCACAAATCATCTCTTTCACATCCCGGCCCAGGGCGGATTACTTTTCGGGCCCGCTCCACCATCTTAGCACGATATTGTCTGCTTTGGGCTTACCATTCCCTCACGGTTTTGTTTTTGGGAACTCACGAGCAACTTCTCAGTGGGTCACCCATCATGGGATTGCTCTAGCCCCCTTCTCGCTTAACTTCGGAGTTCCTACGAAACTCGAAGCCAGTGAGCTCCCAAAAGGCCTCGTGCTAGGTAGGGATGAGAATATACATTTAAGGATCGCTCCCCTGGGCGATGTGGGATGTTACAATCCACCCCCCTTAGGGGCCCGACGTCCTCGTCGGCACACTACGACCAGGGTTAGGCTCTGATACCAATTTTCACATCCCGCCCCGGGGCGGATTACTTTCCGGGCCCGCTCCACCACCTTAGCACGATATTGTCCGCTTTGGGCTTACCACTCCCTCACGGTTTTGTTTTTGAGAACTCACGAGCAACTTCCCAGTGGGTCACCCATCATGGGATTGCTCTAGCCCCCTTCTCGCTTAACTTCGGAGTTCCTACGGAACTCGAAGCTAGTTGATAGGAGCATATTTATGCGACTTAAATGGCTTGTTCTCGTACATTTACGTTATGTTTCTTTAGTTATTTTAGTTCTTTATGCTTCTTTTGTGTGTTTTCAGGTTCTAAGGGCAAAGTATGCAAAATGATGCCTTTTGGAGCCTTTTGGAGCAAATTAGGGATTGGAATGGATATCATATGCTTGGAGCCAAAAGGATGGACGAAATTGAAGACTTGAAGTAGGAAAGTTAAATCCTAAAAAGACCTCATGTTTGAGCATCATTGAAAACTCCTACGCATTTTAGAACACAAAAACAACATTCCTAGCAACCTTAGGACATTGTCGTGTGTTTCCTTGTGTCTCCCTTCCTTGCCATGCAAGGAAGGGCTTTGTTCCCTATTTTAAATACTTAAACACTACCACTTATCATTCACCACA